GTGAAGAGCTTTGCGACGTCCCGATGAGGACCATGTGAAAAGCCCGAGACAAGTCGTGAGCCAAAAACCGGGCTGGCAAAGGGTATCTTTAACCTCATCCCAGAGCGTTGCGTACAGTGTCAGGTACAGAGTAAGTTAGACATCACTGAGATGTAAACGAGGGGGTGCGTTTGGGAGGGGGGAGAAGAGAGAGTGGTGTTGGGGGTGGGAGAGAAGGGATGGGGGCGAGAGATCCGAAGCCTCAGAGACTTTCCAGGATTTCTCCCGATGCCACTTGACTATAACAATAATAATAATTTGGTCACTCAATCCACGACTGTTTGTGGGGACGCTGCTGTGCGCAATTGGCTGCCGCGTTTCGTCCACAAAATACACAGTCACTCCACTTTACAGTATATCCTGTGAAGCGCTTTGAGACGCCTCGAAGACGTGATGAGGCGCTGCATCAAATGCAACAATTATTATTATTATTTGGATATCAAGTCTTGATGCTTTGTATAAAATGATTTTGTGGTGTCTACGTTTCGGCTCGAGCCTTGTCCAGGGGTGGGGAGGATGGGGCGGGGGTGGGGGTGAGAGGGGAGGGGAGTTGGGGGAAGGGAAGGAGTGCCTTTGAACACTCGCTCCTCAGCACACCATGACGCTGCACCCAGAGCAGAAATGCGGAGTATTATGGCTGATTGATCAATAATTAAAAACAAGCAGCATGTTTACCAGACAGGTGTTAATGAGCGACGCAGAATTACTACTGGGATCATAATTACAGTAAGTGACTATCACAGTTGTTAGGAACTAACTGCAGGAGGCTTGGGTCACCCAACCGCTCTCTCTTTCGCTCTCCCTCTCTCGCCCTAGAAATATTTCCAGAGGGAGTGGGTGGGGGGGGAGAGGGAGTGGGGGGGAGAGAAGGGGGGAAAGGAATAAAAACAATCTATATCCCATCATGAACGTGGGGGTGGGAAGAATGGGACGTTCGACCAGTCGCCCTCAATGTGGCCTCTTGATGAGAAGCTAAACCAAGGTGCCATCTGCCTGCTTAACACTCTGAGTGGTCACTCCATCCACGACTCTTCTGCCGCGTTTCACGCACAAAATACACAGTCACTCTGCTTTACACTACGTCCCGTGAAGCGCTTTGAGACGCCTCAATGACGTGATGAGGCGCTCTACCAAATCCGAGGGTTATTATTATTATTGAAGGTGGACAGTAAAGATAGAACCGTAGTATTGTCCATGTCTTTGTTGGTTCTCTTCAGAGCAATCCTTTCAGACCCACTTCCCTGCCTTTTCCTGCGTACCCACGAATTTTGCTCAGAAAACAATCGGTACACTTTACAGAGAGTCCCTCAACGAGCGTTTGAGAAGTCCTCCTAATGTCATAAGGCACCTCATCACACACATATCATGAATAATAATAATGATGGTTTTTATTATTGATTCTGTGGCGTGTTTATTAATAGAATATACTGCGAAGTGTAGTGACTGTGAGTTTTGTGGCTGAAACACGGGCAGCCAATCGCGCACGGCAGATAATAATAATAATCCTTGTATTTGATGCAGCGCCTTATAACGTGGAAACATCTCAAAGTGCTTGAGATATCACACAGCTCCCAAACTCATCCCAGATCTTTCCAGGGAAGTTTGTGTGTGCAAAGATGAAGGCAGTGGCTCCCTCCAGTGGTGACACTGAGAAAGTGCAACTCAACCACATCGGAGGGTGGGGGTGGGGGGGGATTTCTAATTAACGTTTAACGCAAATTACGGGGGTGGGGGTGGGAGAGACACACACATTCAGGGCTTTCAGACCCCTCCTCAGTCATTGCAGAAACTGCATCGGACGTCGCTTACAGGACTTGGTGCAACTCGGTGAAAAATAAAAGATCGGCAAACGTTTAATTCCAAATTATTCCACGTCTGTGCTGCAAACTTTTGGGGGGTCCTGTAGTGCACTGGTTAGAGCACTCGCCTCGCAAACAAGAGGACGCGGGTTCGATTCCCACGCAGGGTGAAACCTGACTCCATACGCTTTTCCGGGAGAGTGGGGAGTAATAATCCCTTAAAAAAATAAAGTGGTCACTGAATCCATGACTGTTTGTGGGGACGCTGCTGTGCGCAACTCGCTGCCGCGTTTGGCCCACCAAAAAGACGTGATAAGGCGCTATATCAAACACGAGGATCATTTATTATTGTCGTTAATTTCAAGCTTTGGCAAATGGAGCGCGTTGCCAATAAGGAAAACAAATATCTGCAGAGATCCAGGGCGGGTGGCAGATGGAAACCACAGTTTTTTTTTAATATCGCACATTTAATTTCAGCATTAATGAGCCACTGCCGCTTAAAGGGCAAGGGTAAGGCATCTCTCTTTGCCTCTCCAACCCCGGTATTAATGAGCCGCCACCGGCAATTCGCCTTTAATAGGTCAATAATAACCTGCCCTCCTCAGTCACAAACCCTGTAATGCTTACTTTACGCATAGCTCAAATGTACAGTGTTAATTGGGGAGGGGGGGGGAAGGAAGACAACTGCCCCTGAGATGATAGCACCCTTTGTCTTGTGTATGTGTGTATGGGGGGGGGGGGGGTCGGTTAGCAAGTCATTGCAAGGTGCCACCTTTCTGTAAGCACCCGCACCCCCCCCCCCATCCTGTGTCGAAGTTTTGTTGCTAACTATTGGTCTTGTCCCATGTTCCCTGATTTGAACACCTAACTTAAATCAATTTCCTTTTCCTGTTTGCCCATCGCCCTGTTTCTTGAGCTGGAAGAGAAAAAGTTCTGCGCAATTTGATACAGCCCCCCCCCCTCCACCTCCCATCGCGTCATCGAGACATCCCAAAGCACTTCACGCGAGCTTCCTTTGAAGTGCAGTGACTGTGTATTTTGTAAGGAGAAGGCGACAGCAGCCAATTTGCACCCAGTGACGTCCCACAAATAGCCACAGAGGCCAGAGCTCTGGGACTCTATCCTGCAAGTTGTTGTTGAACGACCTTGGAGATTGTGGACCAGGACATTGGGAGAGAGAGAGAGAGAGGGGGGACTCCTTTCTCTTTACCAATAGGGCCGCTGAATCTTTAACATACACCTGAATAGGGCACAGACAAGGAACTCACTTTAACACCTTATGTGAAGGACGACGCCTCCGACAATGGAACTCTTCCCCCGGCACTGCACTGGACCTTGTGACTCGAGAGACGAGTGTGCTACCAACAGAGGCAGGCTGACCCTTAAGGCAGGGCTTTAAAGGTGGGGAGGGAGGGAGAGAGAGAGAGAGAGGAACCAGAGTCCCATCACTGGCAGGACCCTATGCCAGGACACGTCAGCGCCCTTCAGGAGGGAAGGGGGATAATTGGGGAATGGGCGGAATAATTACATTGAAAGCGTCGCTTTGAAAGCCATCTTCTGCCCCACCAACAGTGCGGCCGAGAATGCAATTAAAATGTTTCCGTCGATGGCTGGAGCCTGAGAGGCAGAGGCCGGGCTGATCATGCAGGGATGTAATGAGCCGCTACAGATGGCCCAGCTTTAACAGGGGCGGTCGGGCCCCTATCCCTGGGCCCCGGGGTCACACCAAGCGCTGACACGTTGGTCTACACGGACAGACGGACGGATACACGCACGCACACTTCACTAAGAGACCTTTAACAGCATCACAACTGATTGAGCTGTGTCCTTCTCCTACGCACGGACCAATACCCCCGCAGCACCCCATATAGGCCAAGGCACCGAGAGAGAAGTTCCCCTCTCGCCCTTTCCGAATGGCGCCACGCACGTGATCTTTAGGGATCCCGCAGGGTAGCGGTTAGAGCGTTAGCCTCGCAAGCGAGAGGACCCGGGTTCGATTCCCGGGCAGGTGGCGGGTGGGGGTAAAACCTTAGACGAGTTTCCTCACTCAACACGCCTCAGTTTACCAAGCAGTAAGTAGGAACCCACCCTCTGCCGCTCGTCGCTTGGTGGATCACTTTTGGATGTAATAATTCCCCCCCCACCCCCAGAACAAAATTGGTCACTGGCTCCACGGCTGGATTCAGAAAACTTTTTAACACCTTTCGCAAAACGAGCTTTCCCTTTCTCTGACAATTTCCTTATTTTAAAAATGAAACGAGAAACGGATTGAACGGGTTTTAAATTAAAAATCATCTTTATAACATAGTGCACGGGGCAATTGTCAACCAAGCCCCTCGGCCCTTTCACTGTCCTTCCTCCCCCGGCTACAACCCCTCCACCACCCCAGGCAGGCAACCAAAGTCACCCCCACATTAGGAGGAGGAGGAGAGGATGTTTATATGCCGCAGTTTGGGAGAATAAAGTTAGTTTATGTGACTAGGAAAAAATTTATCAGACAAGAACTATTCTGACATTCACGCTCCCCAACCCCTCCCGACTCTGCAACTCATGTCCTCACCCGGCCCAGTCTCCGTGACCCCCCCCACCAACCCCCCACCCTCGGCTCCCCCCGCCCAACAGATCGAATCCGAGGTCCTTGTGTTCAGATTCCTCTGTTACCTTGCCCCCACTTGACTTCTGTGACCTCCTGTGTAACCCTACCCACCGACCGGCAAGCTACCAGCCTGGGTCACACACCATTTGCCCCCCCCCACCCCCAGCCTACACCCCCACCTGACCTGCCCACCATCAACAGGGGCTTTCAATCTATCAACCCCTGTTCTCTGGAACTCCATTCCAGAAGGCAGCAATAATGTAGAGAGGGAGAGAGCGAGCGAGCAAGCGAGAAACATAGACTGCCCCCCCCCCCCTCCACCGACTGAGATCCGTGTTCAAGTCTCTTACACAGAATTGCCGAGACCCACTCATTAGCCAGACGGGACGGTAGGTGGAGCACTCCCTCTCCATCCACCCCCAACCCCTCGTGTTCAGCTCCTGAGGCTAAGCTAGAAACATCACCCAGTGACACCCAACCGCACCCCCAACCCCACCCGGGACAGAACACCAGGGGAGAAAGTGAGAGAGAGACACTCGATCGTCTTTGCCCACAGCGCCATGGGATCTTTTAATGTCAGCCTTAACGGGAAGGCACTTCCAACAATGCAGCTCTTCAGTGACCAGTTTAATCCCCAGACTAAAATGAGAGGCCAAGGTAATGTCCTAGAAGATGGAAGTCATAGAGGCTGGGCTTGCGTAGAGCTGATGACAAGTGGGCCCACTGGGGTGGGGGGGGGTTGGGTGGGGGGAAAAGATGACTCCCAGTCCATTAGCTCATTCCTTGCCCTTGGCTTTGATCCCGAGCCCCTTCAAAATCTTCATGGGGCTGAACTTGTTCTTGGTCTTCTTGGGTTGCTCTGCGTCCTTGGTGCCATCTGTCAGCACAGGGAAGGAGAGAGAGAGAGAGTGTGTCAGCACAGCAACAACTTGCATTTACACAGCGCCCCTCACACAGGGTAGCGCCCCAAAGCCCTTGGCAGTGGCAGAGCACGGTAGGAGGTGACCGTAGGCACGGTTGGTCGAAGAGGAAGGTCTTCAGGCGTGACCTGAAGATGGGGCGAGGTGGAGGGACAGAGGGAGAGTGTTCCAGAGTTTCGGGGCGTAGTGGCTGAAAGAGCGGCCTCATTGACGGTGGAACACAGGGCGCGAGGGACAAGCAGGAGGCCGGAGCCGGTCGAGGGTCAACACAGGGAGAGAACGGCAGCTCCGCCCGGCAATCACCGGCAAAAAGGTGAATTTGGCAAATTTTTGTTTGCGAGAATATCGTTCCCGCCCCAACTCACCCATTCGCTGGATCATGGCCTCCATCATCTGGTCCTCCTCCTTCTCCCTGCAAACAGAGGGCATGTTAGAGACCCCTTCCTCACATCCCCACAGTGGGAGATAGAGAGACACACGCTCAAGACTCACGGACAGAAACAGGCACGAACGCACAACGAGGGAGAGAGAGAGAGAGAGAGACACACACACACACACAGCAGAAGATAAGAACATAAGAACAAGAGTAGCCATTCAGCCCCTCAAGTCCGTTCCACCTTTGCATCAGATCACAGTTGATCTTTACTTCAACTCCAATTGCCCGCCTTTGTCCCAAATATGCCTGGCCTTTGCCAGAGAGAGAGAGAGAGAGAGACACACACACAGGCAGAGAAAGAGAGAGAAGCAGAGAGAGCGAGAGAGAAAGAAACACAAAGCGAGACGTACACCACCTCGTGGACCTCTCGTACCTGAGTCTATCTTCGTCCAACCTGTCGATGATGTTATTCCTGTCTTCCACTGTCTTGATCAACTCTTCCACCAGCTCCTTTTCGCGGGCCTGATCTGCCTCAGTCTTAGTCTCGTCTACACCGTAAAGAGCCTGGGGTTAGCAAGAGCGAGCCGGGTCCTCACACATTGCCCGCTGTGTGAGCTCAGGTCAGGGGGAGTGGGGGGGGGGGGAAGAGAAATGCAGGAGTGGGGAGAAGAGCTGGGATTTGCAAGGGAATTGGCTGATTCCCTTCGCTCCCTACCTACACTGCAGGACAGAGCACGCTCTCAAAGGGAGGTAACTTCACTCAACCCATCTCTTTCTTAAAGCCAGCTTTCCCACGTGTACTCTCTCCCTCTTCCCAAACGCGGAACACCTGTCCCTACACGTCCCTCTCCTTTGATATTCCCAACCTAAAATCTCCCAGGAAGAAAATCGGAAATACTTCTTGGTGTCTGTCCCAAACTCTCTTCTGTCTTGTCCTGCCGCCTTGGCGTGGAGAGGTGGGTGAGGTGGGGAGCGGGGGGAGAAGTTGGGGAGTCAGTGGGAAGAGGTGGGGGTGACCTGGAGAAATTCCCACCTGCTTTTTCCATCAATAATCTCAGCTCCCGGTCAATGTCAGACTGACGAACCTCCAGGATCTGTTGTTTTGATCTGTTTCCGGAAAATGTGGAGGGGGGAGAAACAGAGTTGGTGTCTGTTGAGGCCCATCACTCACTCCATGAGACACACACACACACACTCACAACCCCCCTCCCCCACATACAGACAACCACTGCCCCCCATCCCTGCTCACGCACACGCACACATGCACACACTCACTCACGTGTAAACCAGCTCGGACTCCCGCCTCAGTAACAGCTGCTTCTCATGGATCAGTTTGAACCAATCGGCCATCAGCTCGTCTTCCCGCTCATCTGCGATCGAACAGCGGTGAGTAAATCACGAGCGGCTGGTGTCCACCCCATTCTCCCCCCACGCGCCCCTCCCCGCACACAGAATTCCCCCACCCCCCGCCCTTGCCCACATTGACACCCCACCCCCCCCCACCCATACATTCATGGGCGAAACGCGGCAGCCAGCCGTGGAGTCGAGTGACCCATTTTATTTGGGGGATTGGGGGAGAGAGAGAGAGAGAGAGAGAGAAAAAAACTCCCTTCCCTTTTCCAATAGCACCACGGGATCTTTAAAAGTCCACCTGACCAGGCAGACGGGAGCTCGGTTTAACGTCTCATCCGAAGGACGGCACCTCCGACAGTGCAACAGAACATCCCCCCACCCTCCCCAGCACAGCACAGCAGTGGAACGCCGTCTTAGACAATGCGATTCCAAGTCCTGCAGTAGGGCTTGAACCCACGACTTTCTGACTCAGAGGTGAGAGAGCGACAGAGAGAGAGAGAGAGACTGACCCCATGCAACCACTGAGCCAGACTGATCCACGATCCACACACGTGAGCTCTGGTTTGCGGATGCTGAAAGCACGGCAGTGGGGTTTCTGCAGGTGTCAGACACTCGGCTGACCAAAGAGCCCGCTCCCCCTCTTCCCCTCCCTTGCCCCCTCCCCAACTTGTCGCTTCCCCTCTCCCCTACTCTTCCCCCCAGTCAGGTCCCCCATCACCCACCTCCCTCACAGCTGCGGAGCTGTGGTTCAAGTTCCACCCCCCTGTGCTCCAGCTGGTCCAGCTGGCTTCCCAGCTCCCCCAACTCCTTCTGGATCTGCTCCTCTGGGATGTAGCCGGGGCGAGTCTGTAAAACACACACACACAGTCATCAACCGGCCCTATACAGCGCTCAGTATAATAATGATCATAATAATAATCCTTGCATTTGATATCGCGCCTTATCACATCTTCCCGACGTCTCAAAGCGCTTCACAGAATACACTGTAAAGTGGAGTGACTGTGTATTTTGTGGGCGAAACGCAGCAGCCAATTGCACACAGCAGCATCCCACAAACAGTCGTGGATTGAGTGATAGGATTTTTTTTGTTTTAAGACAGACTTTTGAAGAAAATACCCCCGTTAATTGACTAACAAACCGGGTTCCTAGTTACTGCCAGGTAAACAGTAAGGAAACTTGGCCAACATTTCGCCCCGCCCGGGAATCGAACCTGGGTCCTCTCGTTTGCGAGGTGAACGCTCTAACCACTGCACCATGGGACTCCACAGTGTGGTTTAATGTGGTTTAGGCTGTGCCTGAACTTTTTACCCCCAGAAAGTGATTCGCCAATCAACTAACAACCGGGTTCCTACTTACTGCTGGGTAAACAGTACCCGGGACTCACCTGTGCCTGGTGCGAATTCATGTCCGGGCTGGCGGGGGTTAGTTGGCCGGCTTTATCCTCGCTGGGGGGTTGCATGTCTGCAAAGAATCGATCCCGGGCCATATTCCCTGATGAATAATCACAAACACCCTCACAGTAAACTCCCCGTCTCAACCCCGAGAGAGAGGAAAGAGAGAGAGGAGAGAGACAGAGAGATAGATAGAAACACATACACACAGACACATACAGAGTGGAGAGAGAGACACGTACAGAGTGGAGAGAGAGACAGAGAGAATGAGAGAGACTGGCACAGAGAGAGATAGAACGATAGAGAGAGACAGACAAAGACACTGGTAGAGCGAGAGACCACAGAACATGCAAATTTAAAATGTACAAAATTGTGGCTGTGGTTTATGCTAATTGAAGTACTAAAGTTAAATATGTAAATTGTCGCAAATTATCAGTACTTAATTCTAACCCAGACGTCGTTTAATAATTTAACATCTTCTTGTCAGCGCAAAGTGAACATGCCAGATTGTGCAAACACCCAGAGATTACACTCCTCGTCCAACAGATCCTCAGCTACACCAACTGCTAGCCCACACGTTTAACACAGCACCTCATCACATCGGGTGGGGGGGGGGGGGGGCCGGGTGGCGTCTCAGGCACTTCACAAGATCTACTGTACCGTGTAGTGTACCGCGAATTTTGTAAACGAGCGGGGGGCAGCGTATTTACGCAAGGCGACGTCCCGCAAGCAGCCACGAAGAGAGTGACCGATTTTACTGGATTGTCGGCCAGGCCAGGACACCGGGAGAGAGAAACTCCGTTCTCTGTTCGAATGGGAATCTTTGACGTCCACCTGAAACAGGCCGAGTTGGGACCTCGGTTTAACCTGAAGGACGGCGTCTCCCGACAAACCAGTGCTCGCTCTCCCCCAGCACTGCCCTGGAGCGTAGGCTTAGACCACAGGACAGGCGAGAGCACTACCAACTGTGACTGGGAGACGTCGTGATGTGATAAGGTGCCGTAACAAGTGTAAGGATAATTGTTCTTAACCAGGAATCTTCAGACACACGGCCCCACCGCCCAGTCTTTACCTTGTACCCAGCTCTTTTTTCCCGGTAGTTCTTTCTTGATCCGGTCCAGGGCGGGAGAGTAGCTGCCTCCGAGAGCTGGAGACATCTTCCCGGACTCCTCCTCGTCGGCTCCGCTGGGAGACAGCAGGCTCCCCTTCGCCTCGTCCCGGAGGCTGGCGTCCGGAGTCAGCACCGTTCTCTTCTTCTGAGCCGGTTTGTCCGAGCTCGGACTCACCGACCCGGCTTGGATAGTGAAGGTGATCTCCAACTCCTTCCCGGGAGTTCCCACGCTCGGCTTCGGGAGCGGATTCACAATCGGAACGGGAGGCACGCGCCTGCCGGGAATGTTGACGGTTGTGCTCCGCTCGGGAGGGGAGACAACAGCAGGCTTTGTCACGGCGGCTTCCGGCTTCTTGACGTCCATCCTACCAGAGGAGCTGATCTGCACATCCACCGAGCTGAAGCTTAAAGAGAGAAAAAGGATTCAACAACAACTGGTATTTATTTATACAGCAACCCTCACGCAGGGAGGGCAGAGTCTCAGAGCGCTCAAGAGATCAGCGTCAACCTTCACACAACTAACAGGACAAGCACTCAACACCACCACCAACTCTCTGTTGATGGGGTAGATAGGGGAGAAACCGTTTCCTCTGGCGAGTGGGTCGGTAACCAGAGGACACAGATTTAAGATAATTGGCAAAAGAACCAGAGGGGAGACGAGGAACACAGTTTTATTTTAACCCAGAAGAGTGGTTATAATCTGGAACGCACTGCCTGAAAGGGTGGTGGAAGCAGATCAGATCCTAGCTTTCGAAAGGGAATCGGATAGGGACTTAAAAAAGGAACATTTTGCAGGGCTATGGGGCAAGAACAGAGGAGCGGGACTAGTTAGTGATCCAATCGGAAGCTTTTGGGAGCAATCACAATTGGGAAGCTTTGTCTCTTCTCCCCTTCCCATCTTTTGAGAACCGTGAGTCCACACAGAGTACCCCCCGCCCCCCACACTCCTTCTCTGCCGAAAAGGATGTGGTCAAGGTCTCGGAGGGCTGAAGGGTGTGACAATTTCCTCATCTTCAATCGGAATTGCTTGCGTAACGTCTCTTCTTCCCCCCACCCGCCCCACCCTGGTCACCAACTTTCCAGCTTCTCAAAGCCGGACACGAGGGTTCGTTACCATATTACAGTGATCCTTGCCTAAGTCTACATTTACATATTAAATGCACGGTCCCACCTGATATGACTTGTGTGAGGTTTACTGTACAGTACGTGTTTTTATGCACGTGCTTGACTTGACACGCAACGTCAACCCACACACACACACACGCGTGTGTGTGTGTGTGTGTGTGTTTTTCCATGTTGCTCGCATTCCCAAAGGGGTCAACAGAGCAAGAGTTCCACTAGGGATCAGACTGAAGTTCAGTTTGGCAACGGGAGGTCCTTCTCCTGCCAGTAACGATAAGGAATCTTTCTGAACCGGATTGAATTCCAAGGTCAACGGCCATAGATGCATCCTGGCACCAGCCTGACTGCCCAGATTTGTCCTTCCCCCACATGGCCTCCGCAGCCCCCTCTACTGGCCGCTGCTCGTAACTGCCGTAACTGTTGCACTTAATTTTTTGGGGGGTGACCCCTGATGTCCGACACGTGCGGACACCCATCACCGTGGCTTCAGAGTCTCCAAACCAGGCTGAGAATTCCGCGTATCCCACCTACGTACGGGAATCCCAGAGATAGATCGTTGGAATGGAATGCGCACTCTCTCCCTGGTGGGACGCACCCTGCTTACCTAATTCCGGAAAGTATTAGGCGCAGGTTGGCGAGAGCCAAGGCTTTGGGGACTCCAGAGGGCGCGTTGGGGTAACCGCTGGAGTCTAATCAGCTAAAACCTCATCCACCGCCCGCCCCCCCCCCCCCCCCCACTCCTCCTACCTGCGGTTCTTTTGGACGGGTTTCAGCCGCGACCTCCAGTCAGATGGTGACTCGGTTTCGTTGCCCCCGGGGCTGGGCAGCGGGCTGCACATGGAGCTTCCTGGGCGAAAAAGAAACAAGAAGATATCGACAATGAACGCAGAGCACAGCAACCAGAAACAACAACAACCTGCATTTACACAGCCCCCCCCCCCCCCTCGCAGGATAGCGTCCCAGAGCGCTTGACAATGCCAGAGCATGACACCGAGCCAGGGGGAGGGGGAGGTGACTGTAGGCACGGTCAAAGGGGAAGGTCTTAAGGTGTGACCTGAAGATGGGGAAGGAGGGGGAAAGGTGGAGGGATAGAGGTAGAGTGTTCCAGAGTTTCCGGGTATCCCAATGTGGCAATACATTTGGTCTGAGGTTGCCCCCCCACAGCCCCCACCCATCCCACGCACTGTCATGAGACACATTGAGGTGATGAAGCCCATTCGATCCATTTGATCTCATCCCCCCCACAAAATCCCCACCCAACCGGCCTCCCATCACAGCTTCCAGCTGTTCCAAAAATTCTCCCAGCTGTTGCTTCCCACCCCGCACCACCACCCCCACCACCTGGGTAAGGATGTACTTCCTAGGGTTTGTCCTAAGCATTCCTTTCCTTCACCCACCCCCAAATTTGCACGTTGGGCTAACCACGTGTTAGGGTAAGTGTAAGAGTGACCATTATTCTGCTGAGGGTGACCCTGAAATCCTTTCGATGTGGTGGTTAACTTCATAATGAAGGGAACCCGTGTTCCAACCCCACCCCAACCACCACCGCAAAGAGGGAGGCATTGCCCCACCCCTGGTCACACCTTCTTTCGCTTTTCACCCCCTCCCAATCAACAATGTTTCCTGCTGGCTCGATGATCCCAGGTGTTGGGAAATACTTGCCCTTGGGAAACTGAGATTGCGGGAATAGAACAACATCAGAAAAGGCCCGGAATCAGCTGCCAAACCTCCTTCCGTTTCACTTTCACTCACACACAAACAGCCACAGCCCACAACCACAGGCCTCAGCAAGTCACTGCAATCACCTGGGCGCTCACTATCTCGCCTCCGCACAGAGACTGAACCATAACTGATAAGACTTATGAGTTTTACTGTGTATATATATATATATAATATATACACACACACACCACAACCATCGCCCCACACCCAATCGCTCCACACACACACAACCATCACCCCACACACACACACACACACACACACACCACAACCATCGCCCCACACCCAATCGCTCCACACACACACACACACACATACCACAACCATCACCCCACACCCAATCGCTCCACACACACACACACACAACCATCGCCCCACACCCAATCGCTCCACACACACACACACACACCCCCCACACATCACTCCACACACACACACACACCCCACACATCACTCCACACACACACACACCACAACCATCGCCCCCCCCACCCCCCCACACAGGCTCTAAATGCAAGTGGTAATTAACCGCTGACTGACCTTTGCCTTGCCGACTGTCGGTCACGCTGGCGGTGCGGTTGAGCTGGGTGCGGGCGGGTGTCCTGGCTTCCTCGGCTCGGGGGGTTTTGGGAACTCGGGGCTCGGGCTCCGGGACCAGGGAGGAGGCTGGTCGGGTCCAGGGGAGCTTGCCGGGGGGGAGCGGGTCGGTGGGAGTCTTGGTGGTGTTTGGCAGCGGAGTGTTGACGCGTTCGGCTCGAAGCCGCGAGGGGTGGACATCACTCAGCGTCCGGAGCAGAAACCCACGGGCTTTCTCCTTGTCCGGCTCCGTCCCCTGTGGGGTCTTGGGGCTGGCAGTGTCCGAACCCAGACCACCTCCTCGCTGGGCTGCAGGGGGGGAGTGAGACCCCCGTCCTGTCCTGGGGCCACTGGGGGTCACGCAGCTCGAGGGAGAAGGTGACAATTTCCCCGGCGTTTCCGCAACCAGAAACTTCTGTTTGGCTGCCCACGTTCTCTCCGCTCCCGCTCCGGTCGGAGTCTCCGGCTTGGAGACGGCTGGTCGGATTTTCGGCGTTCCCGAGGCCTGAGCCGGGATGGTGGGCCTGTTGATTTGGCCGGTTACCGGACGGTTGACGGTGGGGCCGGTCGCCGATTCCCTGGGGCCCGGGGCCCAGCCTGGCCTGGGAGGGGGGTTGCCGGTCTCGCGGCCCCCGGCTCGGCTCTGGTGGTTGATGCAGATGAAGGTTCCCGGCTCTGGCCCCGGCTTGTAGGCCCCGGCCATCAGCACATTGGAGCATTGCTTACACCTGGGACAGAGGGAAAGCAGCAGAGAGGTGACACAAACAAGGGAAGGAGGGAAGGACAAAACATATCCTGGTCTCAGTCTCACACCCCACCCCCAACCACAATGGTTGGGCCCGAAGATCCCTAGCGCTCCCACTGGTATTCCCGAAATTGACGTTTCCGTGCAGATTCACAGGATGCCGGTTGATCCCAGATCTCGTCTGCCCTACGTGAGAATCCCAGGTGCCGGGAAGGGGAGAAGGAGCTTTTTTTTTAAAAAAAAATTTGGGATTCAGACTTCAATCATTTTGCTGAAGTCCCGGGGGTATTAGTGGGAAGGTGGGGGGGAAAAAAAAAAAGGAGGAAAAGAGTGGGGAGTCGCACCCGAGCCTCAAACCAGTCCACCTCGAGATCCAAAATTCCACCCAGTCTCAGCCCGTGAGGCCACGAGGTCTTAAAGTCTACGACGTGGAGAATTCTTGTACCCAGTCGCAGTTGGGAAGCTTTTTCTCTTCTCCCCCTCCCATCTTTTGAGTCCACACAGAGCCACCCCACCCCCACCCAACACTCCTCCTCTGCCGAAGAGAATGTGGTCAAGGTCTCAGAAGAGTGAAGGGTGTGGCAATTTTCTCGTCTCCCGAGATAACCCCAGATGAGCGTCACACAGCCCCAGGCTGGCACAGACTAGCTGAGACACAGAGTGTACACTTCCCTCTACTCTCCTCCCATTAAACGAGTCCTGGCATCAAACACACCCGTCTGATCCTGTCTGTCTGTCTCCCACATCAACATGCTCGCTGGCCTCTCTTGGTGCCAATTTAGCGCCAAATACAGGCCAGTTTTGTGCCACAAGACCCTCGCGCAGACCAGGCCCAAGAAAGTCTTCCAGGCAAATACAGCTTAAAAATAAAACAACGGAGTTCCCTTCAGAGTAATGAGGGGAAGATAATAATAATTCTTACATTTGCTACAGCGCCTTATCACGTCATCGAGACCTCTCAAAGCGCTTCACAGGATATACTATAAAATGAATTGACTGTATATTTTGTGGGCGAAACACGGCAGCCAATTGCACACAGCAGTGCCTCCACAAACAATCGTGGATTAAGTGACCAAATTATTATTTTTTTTTTTTGAAGGCATTATTACCCCCAGAAAAGCGATCTGCTGATCGACTAACTGGGTTCCTAGGTAAACAGTAAGGGTAAGCTTGAGGAGTAAAGAAACTTGCCTAAGGTTTCACCCTGCCCAGGAATCGAACCTGGGTCCTCTCGCTTGCGAGGCGAGTGCTCTGATCACCGGGCAGGACTCCCCGATGTCTGTGCAGACGGACGCAGTTTACCTGAAGCAGTTTCTGTGGTAAAGGCTCCCATCGACCAGGTACCTCTGGACCAGGAGCACGGATTTTCTGCAGAGGGCACAGTTGCTGCTTATACTCCGGTCCCCAGCGCTGACAACTTCCTGCTTGCTCTGCCGGAGAAACAGGAAAACCAATAAAGATTCAAAGCCCATGTCAGAGTTGGGACGGGGATGGGTGAGAAAGAGATTTGAGCTCACAGTATCTGCTGGCACTTCAGCACAGGACTGAAGGGGCTGGTTGAAGGCTCTGATGACAGATGAGATGATACCAAACCCCCCCCCCCCATCCTTGGCTGTTCATGTGGGCTTTAATATCCCACGGTGCTATTGGAAAAAAGAAGAAAGTTTCTCTCTCTTCCTCCGCCCTGGTATCCTGGCCGACAATCTCCCCGGGTCAAAATCAATCATTCGCCTCGTGTCTGTTTGCGGGACTTCACTGTGAGCAAAATGGCTGTAAAAGCAGTCACTACACTGGACATCAATTCCCCGCGAGACGTTGACGAGAGGCTATCAAGAAGGGTTGGCCTCTCCTTGGCCCAGCGACTCACCGACAGCGGGGACTTGGCTCCCGGGCCTGCGGGGGAGACGGGCAGGTTCTTGGGGAGTTTGGGCTTGGTCTCGGGGGTGGCCTTCTTCTGCACCGGCTCCTCGCTGGGCTCCGAGGCCGGTCGCTTGATACACGCCAAACCACCGACTGCACAACAAAGAGAGACACATAGATTAACACTTTAACGCAGGCGAAAGGGTGGGGGGGTGGGGGGGGGGTGGCAGGGTTCCTCTCTGCGTGTTCTGTTCAGTTGGATATTAAAGATCTCACATGGCGCCACTCGGAAAGAGGAGGGGATTTTCTTCCCCTCTCTCCTGGCCAACAATCCCCCAGGTAATACTCGCTCTGAGGACCAAGCAAATGGTCCCTTTGTTGCAAAACGCCCCAAGACGCCACCCCTCTCGTGAACGGCATGATACGCAAGTTGACGTTGGTCATTTTGCTTCCTGGCTGTTTGCGGGGAGGGGCAAATTGTCTTCAAGCGCGAACTGAAAATAGGGAGAGAGGGGGGGGGGGGGGGGGGGGGCAAGGCCAGGGGATCGAGGGAGAGAGTCCCAAAGCTTCGGGGCGCAGTGGCTGAAAGCACGGCCGTCGAAGGTGGGGGGCGCGGAGGGGACAAGAGGTACAGAGAGGGCAATGGGCTGCAGAGACCCTAACAAACCTTGGAACAAATTAAAGGGGCTGGATGGCTGCCTCTTCCCACCTCTGCCATAGTCTTAAAGGGGCTCGATCGCGCCTGGGGCTGGGGATCAGGCGAATCGAGCTCCGAAGGGCAAGCGAGGGCAGGCGTGGGTCGCGCTTTGCGCCCGGGGTGGGGTTTGGTGGGAGGCGGGGAGTCACTTACTGGGTGATCGGCCTGTGAAGTAGTTGTGATACTGAGAGACGTAGGTCAGGATGCTCAGCCTGTCCGGCACCCTTAAGGCCACCATGTCCTCTGCGTCCAGCAGAGCCGGGATTCCCAGCATCTCCTCCGCCAGCTGGAACGCCTGGGGTGGGAGGAGAAGGGGGGGGTAGAGAGGTCAGAGGGGAGGATAAGGCACTATATCAAATGCAACGATTATTATTATTATTATAATGCGAGGACTTTAGACAGTGACCTTTTCACACCCCGCAACACGGAATGACTAACATGAGGCCGTCACCCTTTGATGGTGAAGCGGGTGGTCTGGGAGGGAGGGAGGGAGGGCAGAAAGGAAGAAGCATCAAAGAGAAAAATGTGTTAAACACCCACTCCCTTCCTCTCCCCCCCATTCCCCGCTGTGGCCCCTGTATCTAATTGCCCTCGGATTGTGCGGTTGGTGAAAATGAACATGATTCAGATCCCTGCAGTCATTTGGTGTAACAGGTGCTCGCGTCAATCTCACCACCGTGGGAACCCACTCCACACTTGCTATGTTATTGTCGGGAGGAAACCCGGGAGTGTGGGGGGGCGAGGGGTGGGGTGGAAATATCACCAAACAAAATGAATTGAAAGATTTTGGTTTTGGTGCGTGCAACCAGAGGATAAACACAGTGTACTGCAGTGCATGTTGGACGCAAAATAATTCACGGATTAGGATTTAACGGTCAGTTCTGGCGACAGTTAAAGCCGTGCGGTGTGCAATCTCGTCAGTGACACTGTAACTGAAAATGTCACTCCGTGGCCCAGATAAGGGCAGGAGCTTCCCCAGAACTAGACAATGCCCGGCTTGTTTCACAGAGAGAGAGAGAGAGAGAGCGCGAGAGAGAGGCTTGAATGGAACAAGAGAGAGAGAAAAAGAGAGGGAGAGTGAGTGTTGAATGGAAAAAGAGAGAAAGCGAGAGAGAGTGAGAGAGTGTGTGTTGAATAGAACAAGAGAGAAAGAGTGAGTGTTGAATCGAACGAGAGAGAGAGAAAGAGAGGGAGAGGGAGTGTTGAATGGAACAGGAGATAAAGAAAGAGAGATAGAGTGTGAGTGTTGAATGGAACAAGAAATAAAGAAAGAGAGAGTGTGAGTGTTGAATGGAACAAGAGGTAAAGACAGAGCGAGAGTGTGAGTGCTGAATGGAACGAGAGAGAGAGTGAGTGTTGAATAGAACAAGTGTCACTTTTCCTGTCCAGGCAGAGGGTGAGGGAGCGATGCCACACAACTCACCATCTTGTTATTCTCATAGACATTCTCCTTCTTAAGAGAATCAAAGTTTCTGAAAGTGAAGCAGAACCAGAGTAAATTGACACGGTTTAGTTGGTCTCTCACACACACACACACACACAGATGTACAGACAGACATACAGTCAATCAGTAACACACACACAGTCAATAAACACATATAAACGTTCACAGTCATTGTTCGCATTTACAATGAGACCAAAGGTTCGCTCGATTACTCGTAGGAAGAATCGCCTGACACGTGACTCAAAGCCTATTGATGTCTCCCTCAAACAGCTTCGCAGCCAATTCCTGTTCAAAAGACAGCGACTGTATAAACACATCCACACCGCATCTACAGGTAAAAGTCCTATCACTGGGCAATGCCTGGGGAATACAGTAGCAGAACAAGGGAGAACATTCAACACACAGCCCCCTCCGCCCCACCCAAACACGCAACCCCACTACCCCACACACACACTCCTGCCCCACCTCACACACACCCCCCCCCACCGCACACCTGCTTCATGTCCCCCGCCTCGCTCACCCCACTATCGGCGGGCAAGCCTTCTGCCATTCTGCACCCACCCTCTGGAACTCCGTCCCACAGTCCTGTCTCACCCCCTCCCTCGCCACCTTCAAGACCCACCTCAAGAACCCTCTTCGATCATGCTTTCTATCTCCCTGCTTCCCTCCCAGCCCTCCCCCACCTCAACCCTCAGCTCTGGTCCGAAACTCCGTCTGTCCAGCGCCTTGGACCGTCCTCCCGACATAAAAGGCGCTATGCAAATGTAATTTTGTTGTTGTTGTAGCTCCTGAGTGGGCTTCAATCACAGGAAATATCAGTCTCGTATGTGACTTAATGCAATCAGCCACTTGAGGGAAAAGCCTCATTGTTCGCATTTACAATGAGACCAAAGGTTCGCTCGATTACTCATAGCAAGAATCGCCTGACACATGACTCAAAGCCTGTTGATGTCTCCCTCAAACAGCTTCGCAGCCAATTCCTGCTCAAAAGGTAGCGACTGTGCGCACAAATGCAGCAGCCACTTTGCGCACAGCAAAGTCTCACAAGCGGCCATGAACTGAGGGAGCGTTTTATCCGGAGGGGGCGAGGGGAGGGGGTTTAGAGAGAGAGAGAGAGAGAGAGAGGAGATTGTCGGTCAAGCCGCTAGGGACAGGAACTCCCTTCCCTTTTAACAAACGGTATCACAGGATCTTTATCGTTGTGCCTATTCGGGTGAGGTGGGAGGGGAAGTGTTATGCAGGGATCGCACACACACACACATGCAAACACACACTCACCCACCGGGCAATCGATCGGTCGCAAATTGTGTAGGTACATTGGTGGCGATGATGACGAGAACCTCAACAACAACTTGTGTGTTTATACAGCCGCCTTCACGCGGGATAGGGTCCCCAGAGCACTCGACAGTGGCAGAGTCTGACCCCGAGCCAAGGGGGAGAAGAAGAACCTCCTCTTCCACCCCCCCCCCCCCCCACTCCCCCATCACCTCTCCCACTCAGCCAAGTGTGCAGGAGGGAGGAGTGGGGCAGTGGGGAGGAGGAGGCAAATCAGTAGCACCATCTAATTGCCAGGATGGGACTCGCCCTCTCTCAGCCTGACATAGACCTCTCCCCTTTCCAGCCCAGGCTGTTAAGAACGAGAAGAGTCAATATCCATGTGAATGGACCTTTCGTGCTCATTCCAGGCTGCTGGACAGACGCCTCTGCACACTGACTGGCATTTTCCTCCTTCTCTTTATTGTGCTTTGTTTCCCGAGCAATCGCGGGACAGAGCGCAGTGATACAGGGCCGTAACGGGAATGTGGGGGCCAGTGGTGGGGAGTGGGGCGGGGGGGAGAAGATGACCAAAAGTGCAGTCATAGAAACCGGTCTTGAGACGTGTGGAGTTTCATCAACCACTGCTCAGTGCAGTGAATGGAAAGCCTCTCTCGTTTGACTTTAAATCAGGGGGCGGGATGGGGTGGGGGGATTATTGATTAATTTCAATTGATTATTAAATATTAATTTAAATTTTTTTTTAAATTGCATGTTTTAAAAAATCCTTATGCTCGATCCAGCGCCTTTCACAACAGGAGGACGTCTCAAAGCGCCCGACAGGATTCACCGCAAAGTGTAGTGACTGTGTGTTTTGCAAGCGAATGCAGCCGATTTGCTGCATTGCGTCACCCCACAAACGGCCACAAAGTGAACGACCAACTTTATCTTGGAGGGGGTTGGGGCAGGGGGAGGGGGGTTGAAGGTGAAGGTGGCGAGGGAAATGTCAAGCCAGGACACTGGGAGAGAGAATCTTCCTTTTCTCTGCCCCCTCACTCCGCCTCCCCCCCCACCCCCAGATGGTCTTGCGAAATCCACCTGAACAGACAGATGTGGGGGTGCCTCAGCTTTACGTGGAACTCAACTCATCCTCCAGCTCAGTCTCATTCCATAAGCAGAAATTCATACAACGACAGAGATAAAGGCTTGCCAGATATTTACAAGCCACAGTGAAGGAATTATTTACATTGCCCCATTCCCACATTGGCGCTCCCCCCCCCCCCCACCCGTGCTTTCCTCCGCTACTTGTTTGCAAACACAGATTCCTTACAAATGCATCATTCTCTCGCCCATGTTTACAACAACACATTCCATTCCCTCCTACAGGCTTCCCATCAGCTCCTCACCCAAACCACACACGCACACACACTAGATATTTGCTTCTGTTGCAAGGGATTCGTTAATGTATCTACACATCGCGACCCACGTACTTAATAATAACCCTCGCATTTGATACAGTGCCTTATCACGTCTTCGAGACGTCTCAAAGCGCTTCACAGCGTATACTGTAAAGTTTCAGCAAAATACTGCAGATGCTGGAAATCTGAAATATAAAACAGAAGTCGCTGGGAACAACCAGAGGGGACAGGCAGAGCATCTGACAAAAGTTAATCGACCTGAAACTTTAACCCCTTTTCCTCTCTCCATAGATGCTGCCCCATCTGCTGAGTGTTTCCAGTGACTTCGGCTTTTATATTGGGAAATGTATTTCGTGAGGTGGTGAAATTGCACAATCCCCCCAAAAAACTCCCTGGTTTCCTCTCAAACACTGGTGATTCCCGGCTGGTCCCGACATCGAGCCAGCTGCTTACTATTTGCAGCGGTGGTGCTTTTACGAGGGGAGGGGGGAGAAATATTTCCCCCAAACGATTTGGTTCTTTATAAATCAGAACCACATGGTGAAGTGGATCAGACTCTAATTCCACCCCCCATCCTCCTCTACTGCGCCCCATAAAAAATACATCAAACCCTATCTCAGACAGTAATTCTCTTTAAACCCCTTCCCCCCCCACACACACACACACCCCAAATTGAATCTGTTTCAGCCCAAAATGAAATCAGGTCAACTTTTCCAAATAAAGTTTAAGAACCTAGTCGTGGGGGGGGGGGGGGGGTGGAAAGGAACCAAAGGCTCATCCCAATTTGTCACCACAGGAATTTTTGAAATTTCCACACATTTTCTCATCAAAAAAGATTGCAGCTCAGAATTCAGTTTAATTTTCCTCAAAGCAAGTCCCCCCCCCCCACACCCACCCACCCAACCCCACACCCCCACACAGATGGGCAGATAGACAAATAGAAAGCTGCAAAATACACACACATAGAAAGATACAGGAACACAAGAGAGGTATAGAAAGAGAGAGATGCACACACACACATATAGATGTGTAGGTCAGACACACAGAAAGATACACACATAGTCACAGAGAGAGACAAACACACACAGAGACACACACACACACACACACATGTTGAGCTGGTAAGAGACTTGCACTTTAAGTTGGCACAGTCAAGGCTGGACTTTGCACACTGACAAATCCTGGATTAAAACCAAGAAGAAGAAAAAAAAGCAACAGGGAGCAAAGTGGGCACAGATCAACAAGAGCTGAATTTCCCCCAAAACACCCAAACATTCCTCTCCCCCACATAACCAGTCCACATGGGACACAGCTGGTTGCAAAGGAGACTGTGTTGGTGCAGGAGATGGGATGAGAGGAACTGTGACTTACATGAGATCTGGTCTGAAGTGGTGGATAATGGCACAGAAAGCCAGTCCATCTCGCCACGAACTGGTCATGTTGGTGATTTGAACGCCACTGTACCCCTCACACTGTTTCTTACACCACAACTGGAGAGCTTTGATAGCAGCCATGGCTTAGCCAGAGAGGGAGAACACACTGACACAGACAGGGAACACACACACAGAGAACACACTGACAGACAGGGAACACACACTGAGAGAGAGGGAGAACACACACTGACACAGACAGAGAACACACACTGAGAGAGAGGGAGAACACACACACACACACAGAACACACTGACAGACAGAACACACACACACACAGAGAACACACACTGACACAGACAGAGAGAACACACACACACACACACACAGAGAACACACTGACACAGACAGAGAGAACACACACAGACAAAGAGAATACACACAGACAGAGAGAATACACACAGACAGAGAGGACACAGACACAAACAGAGAGAACACACTCACAGGCAGAGAGAGAGAACACACTGACACAGACAGTGGGAACACACACACAGACAAAGAGAACACAGACAGAAAACACACCGACACAGACAGACAGAAAGAACACACACACACACACACAGAGAGAACACACACACAACAAAAAAAAACACCAGGAAATCCGGGTCAGGACGAGAGAGAGTGAGAGAAAGAGAGAAAGAGAAAGAGGGTAATAGGGAAGTGTGTTGTGTGGGTGAAAGGGAGAGAGAGAGAGAGAGAGCTTTGATAAGAAACAGAAACAAAAAAAAGTTAAGAGAAAAGGGGGGGAAAAAAACTATCTGGGGATTATATAACAATCAACTGGGTCCAGTCCAGACACAGACATTTCGACACAGTTACAGAGAGGGGTTTTAAGAATTAAAGCAATTTGTTTTTAAATGGATTAAAAAATCAGATCAGAGAGAGAGAGAGAGAAAAAAATTAAGAGAAAAAACACTCAGAGAGAGAGAGAGAGAAAGAAAGATCAGACGTACTAAACGACATCGAGAGAGAGAGACTGTGTGAGACTTCTCCACTTTCAGGGAAAGTTGACAAAAGTTTGGGAGCAACTTTTGCAAAGAGACGTGGGAGGAGAGCAGTAGCTGCAAACACACGAGAAAACGTGCAGGAATTAGGAAGAGAGACTGTAGCAATCACTGGTGACCAAGTGAGGACATGTTTTGGAGGAGGAGAATATCACACACACACACACACACACAGAGAGAGAGAGAAACAGAAAAAAAGTGCTCACTCTCACATTCACCTGAGCTGCACAACTCCACCCAGTAATTCCATCAGCAAAAGGGATGGGAGCAGAGGGAGGTGATGCACTCCTCTCTGCTCCAATTATATCTCGACGTGTGATTGCAGGTGTCCCAGGTGAACACACACACATACACACACATACACACACCAGGGGGAAATTCCACAATTTCACACTCATTTCCCATTATCAGCAAGACATCCTCGCGTTGGACACGGCGCCTTATCGCGCGGTCGAGACGTCTCAAAGCGCTTCACCGCAAAGCGGAGCGGCCGTGCGCCTTCGTGGGCGAGACGCGGCGGCCGATCGCGCGCAGCGGATGTCCCACAAACAGTTGGGGATTGAAGCGACCGGATTTATTTTCTTTTGTTTGAAGAGATTATTACTCCCGGAAAAGCCATCCGCCAATCGATTCACAACCTACTTACTGCTGGGCAAACAGAGGCGTGTGTGGGGATTAGGGAATCGAACCCGGGGCCCCTCGCTTGCGTCTTTCCTTCCATCCCAGTCTGTTGCTACTTAAATCCATTCCCTTTCATTTTGTGGGGGTGGGGAACGAGGGACGGCGACAAATGGCTGGTGGTAAATGCAATAGGGAGGTTAGGAGGAATTTCTCTTTCACGTAAATCGCGGTGAGAACGTGGAACTCGCTGCTAGGAAGCTGTGGTTGAAGGCAACTAAGCATCAGTGTATTTATTGAAGAGCAAAGTTTGTGTGCTGTAGCATTGGCTGTAATTCTGAGTAAATAAACCCTTCCAGTCCGAGGTGAGAGTGCGAGCGACTGAGCCAAGCTGACATAATAATAATAATAATAATAATAATAATCCTTGCATTTGATATAGCGCTTTTCACGTCGGGAGAACGTCCCATCCCAATGTTTCCAACAGGAACCCCCTCTATGGTTATCTTGCTGCCGTGCTCTGAGACACTACCTCACGTAAAGTCTGCTCGATTGACACACATTGCTGCCATTGTTTCACTCAGTCTCTGTAAAGCACTTTGAGATGTCACCTTGCATGAGAGGTTCTGTTTAAGAACTTGTTCAGAGTCCCAAGTGCAGGTGTGGCCTAATTCTGCCCAATAGGTGCAGCGGCCAGCGTTCACATGCCAAAGTACAGGGTGTTCACAAAGTCCTGTGTTTTTAATTACAATAACTTTTTATTTTTTGTTGCAAATGAGCCGTACGTAACAATGTCTAATATCAGTACCTTTCTCCTCGCTGACTCCATCCCAGTGTGTCCTGCGAAGCGCTTTGAGACGTCTCGAAGACGTGTTAAGGCGCGACATCAAATGCCAGGGTTATTGTTAGTGTTATTGTTATGTTAGATGTGGCGTCGAACGTGGCAACGGTTCATTATCTGCCATGAAAATGATGGTGCTCACACTCTCACACGCTCACGCACACATCAATCCTCTGGACGTCTAAATGCAGTTACACACTTGCACTGAATGGAATCGAGTAACTTCTGAATACAAATATCATCAGTCTTCCATATGTCTCAGACGTTGGTCAGTGCGCTGTAAGGGGAAAAAAAACATGGGGGTAACAAGACTTTGCGGACAGCCCGTACAATTAAAGAGAGGAGCTGGTAGGTAGGTTTTTCTTTGGGTGGGGTGGGGATGGGCGCCCGAAGCCCCTCTCGTCCCAGCCTATGTTGGGACCAGGTGTGAAATGGGGTGGGTGGGGGGGGGGGGTCAATGGTCCCTCAGCGTGAAGGCACCAGGTGGCGCTCTTCACTCAGAATGAGTCACTCTCCGCAGGGCACCTGAGGTGAGAGACACCTTCACACAGAGACATCTTATTTCGGTCTTAACAGCAGGAACCACTCAGTCAGTCCATCCATTATCTGAACAACCGCGGCCTTCCCCCCCAACCCCCCACCCCTCCGCCGGATCTCTGGCTTACTTACGCAGCCCTCTGACACCGTGTTCACGCCGTCATTGTTTGCAAAGATAATAAAGTAACTCTGGTGCGTGTGTGTGTGTGTCTGTGTGTGTGCGCCCGGAACCATGCAGTGTTCAGGCCAACATCAGTGTTAATTAATTACAGTGAGAGTCACGGATGGGTTCTCTGCCCAGAGCCCCCGCCATCACCATGCACCCACGGAGACTCTTACGACACAGTTCAAACAGGAACTGGATCAACGTTTGAAGAGGAACGCTGGGAAAGGGGACAACAACAACAACAAATTATACTTACGCAGCGCCTGCCTTTCGCGTCGGAAATACATCCCAAGGGCAGTCAGGGATTGGGACCCGAGCTGGGGGTTGGGATCAGGAGGGGGTGGAAAGCAGGGAGGGTAGGGGTAGGAGGGTGACCGAAGGCGCGGTTGAAGAGGAGGGTCTTGAGACGGGCCTTGAAGGAGGCGAGGGAGGGGGATGGAGCTCCAAAGGGACAGGAAGAGAGCAGGGAAGTAGGATCAGAGTAGCCGGACGAAGCTGCTTCACTCGCTCGCTTTCTGTGCTGTCAATTCCATGATTTTTTTCGGCACTGACACACGGTGTATGGTTTGGCTCTGTCTTAATAACAACAACAATAATAATAATCCTTGCACTTGATACAGCGCCTCATCACATTGTTGGGACGTCTCAAAGCGCTTCACAGAATGTACTGTAAAAGTAGATCGACTGTGTATTTTGTGGGCGAAACGCGGCAGCCAATTGCGCTCAGCAGCGTCCCCACAAACAGTCGTCGATTGAGTGACCACATTCTTTTTAATATTTTAATATTAAATGTACAAAAAGGGTTTTACATCAGGCAGTGAGCAACACTGGGCTGCTCTCTCTCTCGCTCTCTCCACCCCCCCCCCCACAACAGTCTAATGTCAATCTTCACATCGTTTGGTTCTTCAGTTCCCTCTTTAACCCTCTCCCCACCAATGTGAGATCGGAGAGAGGAGGGTTCAGCCCCCCCACCCCAGGTAACAGTGAGGGCAGTGACATTCTGGGCTTCTCCTTCAGTCAAATGTGTGGGATTGCTTGTATTTACACACAACCTGGAGAGGGTCAGGTGTGAAACATAGGTGACAGCCTCTCTCCTTGTTCCTCCATTCAGACCCTGTTTGAACACCATGGTGCCTTGGCCTGAACTCAGTGACTTGTCTCTTCATTCTCACTCAGCTACGCAATCTGTCTGTCTGTCGCTGTCTCATACACACAGTTACACACAGGTCTTGTTATACACACAGTCTCACACACACAGACTGTTACACTCTGTCTCTCACACACAGTCGGTCAGTCTCACACACACACATACACAGTTACAGGGACTCTGTATTATACAGTGTCTATGTGTCTCTCACATGGTCTGGAGATGGAGAAGCAGAGCCGGGGAGGTTTCTCACAGCGACACAGTGTATCCCGGCTTCGTGCTCCCTGGCTTTGGCCCTCAGTGTGGCAATACTACAGCTGCGGATCTCCTCGGAGGTGGGAGTGAGGGTGACATTGTCTTTGATGGCCTGAACCACAGCCCGGAAAGGGGCAGCGACCAGCGAGGGGGTGTTGTGGCCCCCCGACCAGGGGCAGCCAGGTGTGCGGGCTCCGCAGTCGTTGGGCTGGGGGGCCGGGGGCTGAGATGTCTGGCTGGGCTCTCGCTCTCGCTGTCTGTCTGTCTGCCGTCCCTGCAGCTTGCATTGTCTCCGCATCTTAGCTCTGCGGTTCTGAAACCAAACCTGCAACCGAACAAACAAACAGGCAACACATCAGCACCCGGGCGGAGAGGGGTTAACCCTTTACGGTGGAGATCTGTAGCGTAGTGGTTAGCACGCTCGCCTCGCAAGGCTGTACAAGTGAAGTCCTGTAAATTAGTGGTTAGAACACTCGCCTCGCAAGCGAGAGGACCCGGGTTTGATTCCCAGGCCGGGCGAAACCTTAGGCAAGTTTCCTGACTCCACGCGCCTCTGTTTACCTGACAGTAAATTAGAACCTAGTTGTTACGCAATTTGTAGATCACTTTCCGGGGGTAATAATCCATCCCCCCAAAAAAATATGGTCACTCAATCCACGACTGTTTGTGGGGACACTGCTGTGTGCAATTGGCTGCTGTGTTTCACCCACAAAATACAGTCAATTCAATTTACAATATATCTTGCAAAGCGCTTTGAGATGTCTCAACGACATGATAAGGCGCTGTATGCAATGCAAAGATTATTATTTTGAATATTATTATCATTTTACGGTGTGGAGACCAGAGTTGGACTCAGTACTCCAAACGAGTTCACGTCCTCACTTTTATATTCCCAGCCTATTGACCTTTTCATTTTTTCACACAAAGACTAGTGGAAATATCTCTCTCTCTCTCTCTCTCCCCCCAAAAAGGCTGTGGATACTGGATCCATTCAAATTTTCAAGACTAAGGTGGATAGATATTTGTTAGGTCAGAGTATCAAGGGAGTCGAGGAACAGATCAGCCATGATCTAATAGACTGGTGGAACAGGCTCGAGGGACTGAATGGCCTATTCCTGTTCCTGTGTATCTTTGCCGCTGTGTGTGCTCTCTCTCCCACCCCCCCACTTTGAATGCGTTCCCGAGCTCTACCTGAACTCTGGCCTCGATCAGGTCCAGTCTGAGAGCCAGGGCTTCCCTCATGAAGATGTCAGGGTACTGGGTCATCTCAAATGCCTTCTCCAGCTCCTCCAGTTGCCAGCTGCTGTAGTTGGCCCGAGCTCGTCTCTGCTTCAACGGCTTCACGTCGTCTGAGACAAAGAAAAAAAAACACAGGAAGACAAACTACAGTTATTTCCTGGGGGGAGGGGGGGTCAGCCGAGTGTCTGGCACGTGCGGAAACCCATCACCGTTGTTTAAGAGTATCTAAACCGAGCTGAGAATTCCACACATCCAATCTACAGATGGAAATCCCAGAGATAAATTGTTGGAATGGAATGTGCACTCTCTCTTTCCCTGGACGGACGCATCCTGCTTACCTAATTCCGGAGAGCATTAGACACAGGTTGGCAAGAGCCAAGGCTTAAAAAGAGCCCAGAGTGTGCGTTGGGGTAACTGCTGGTGTCTAACCAGCTAAAACCGCATAGCTTGCCATTAAGAGCGCTGTCTGGCAAACTTTCCCGCTGCTTGTCCAGCCAGGACCACTCTAACTAACGCCAGTGAGAACAGAGAGTGTGAAATGCAAGGAGCGATGCATGTAATTTAAGGAAATGGGTGAAAACACGAAAGAGAAAGAACAAACACAGCGATAAATAACATTTTTACAAAAAGGAGAAATCGCAGAACAATAAATATGAACAATAATGAACGAGCCGATTAATAATAATAATAATCCTTGCATTAGGTACAGCACCACGATCCCGTCAGAAAGACGTCTCAAAACACTTCACGGGATTCACTGCGAAATAAAATGACTGTATATTGGACAAAACAATAATCTCGCACTTGATGCAACGGCTAAAATATCGAAATGTCGCAAAGCACTTCGCAGAGTGTTCTGTTAAGTGTAATGACTGTGTATTTTGTAGGTGAATTTGGCAGTCTATTTGCACACAACAACATCCCACAAACAGCTGCGAAGTGAATGACCGAGTTCATCTGGAGGGGCTGTTGGCCAGAGAGAAACTCTCTTCTCTTTGCCAACATTGTCACTTGACCTTTATAATGACCACATAATAGGCGGCCGGGACTTTGATTTAAAGTCTCATCTAAAGGATTGCAACGACAACGCAGAGTTCATTACAGTCTGCATGAGAGTGTCAGCCAGGACTGGGAGCTCAAAGTCCCCTTCGTGTAGTATTGTGCTCACAATCTTCTGCGTCAGAGGCCACAGTCCTCCCAGCTGAGCCAGGCCGATACCAAAACCTCACAGAATGACAAACGATAAAGTGGCAAAATTAGAGGCTTTAATCGTGTTAAACTACAGATTAGATAGTGACAGCTATAAATGTGGAGTCCTGTAGCGTAGTGGTGCAAAGCGGGTTTGTGTGGTGATAAAGAGACAGACCTGGTGTGATGTTGGTTTTCTTGAGAGAAACTCTCTCCTACACATCTCACCTTTCCGAGTCGGTCAGAGCCAGGGGCAATGAGGTTAGGTCTCTCCAGGGGACATTGATCATTGAGAATCTCCGTATTTTCACATTCTCAAACCTACTCCTGTGGAGTCCTGTAGCTCAGTGGTTAGAGCACTCGCTTTGCAAGCGAGAGACCTGAGTTCAATTCCAGGCAGAGGGCGAAACCTTGGGCAAGTTTCCTTACTCTACACAGAGCCTAATAATAATACCTCCAAAAAAACAAAACAATAATAAATTGGTCATTTTCAATCCATATGACTGTTTGTGGGACATTGCTGTGCGCAATTGGCTGCCGCGTTCGCCCACAAATATACAGTCAATTCACTTTACAGTGTGTTCTGTGAAGCGCTTTGGGACGTCCTCCCGACGTGAAAAGCGCTATATCAAATGCAAGGATTATTATTATTATTACTCAGGTCCTGAGTGAATCAGCCTTCACTAAACCTCAGCGTGAATGAGAGACACATTGTATTTCTACATCCTACTATCCACCAAACAGGTTTGAACACAGTTTATTACAGACTGTAAGTACATCTATAACAATAATAATCCTTGCATTTGATATAGCGCCTTATCGTATCTTTGAGACATCTCAAAGCGCTTCACAGAATATACTGTAAATATATAGATTCTATAATAATAATAAAAATAATAATCCTTGCATTTGATATAGCGCTTTTCACGTCGGGAGGACGTCCCAAAGCGTTTCACAGAACACACTGTAAAGTGAATTGACTGTATATTTGTGGGCGAACGCGGCAGCCAATTGCGCACAGCAATGTCCCACAAACAGTCGTAGATTGAAAATGACCAATTTATCATTGGTTTTGGTTTTGAAGGGATTATTATTATTAAGTACACACATCCCTATGTACACACACAGTATGTACAGGAATATTATATATATTTATAGTGCACGTACTTATATATCCTTTATGTATATTGTACGTACCTACAGTATATCACAGATATACACTGCGCAGGTGGCACAGGACTTTATTATCAATGGATTCAGTTCAAACCCAAACTTTCCAATATTCACAACCAGTTTATCAAGTTCTCTAAACTTTAGACACCCACCACCACCCCACCCCACACACAAACACACACACACACACACACACAAAGCCAGGCAGGTAGGGCTTAGGCTATTAGTTTGGTTAACTTTCCATCGTCCTTAAACCTGTTTGCAAACTATGACTCTGCTTGTTGCATTATTTTATATCAGACATTGCTTTTTTTTTGTCGTTTTAACACATTCTCCCTGAGATCCAGGTTCCTGCTTCTCTCTCTCTCTCCCCCTTCTCTGATGTTGTGTTGCTCTATACAGTTTGACTCTCTCCTGTCTCTCACCCCCTCCTGTCTCTCACCCCTTCTCCTCATCCGCAAAACTTCGCTGTGCGGTCCTTGTATCACTTTGCGCATCTCCCTCTCCCTCTCTCTCTCTCTCTATCTATCCCCTTCTCACACTCCCTCTCTTATTTTATCTGATGTCAAACACAAACCCCCACCTCCTCCCCCTCTCTCACTTTATCCCCATTCTCCCTCTCCCTCCTTCTCTCACACCCACTTTGTCCCCCCCCCCCCTCTCTCTCTCTCTCTCCCTCAATTCCCCCTCTCTCACTTTATCCTCATTTGTTCTCTCTTTCACACACATACTTTATATCCCCATCCTCCACCCCACCGCCCCCCCTCTCTTTCTCACACACACTTTATCCCCATTCTCTCCCCCCTCCCCTCACCCCCTCTCACTGGACGTCCTCCCGACGTGAAAAGCGCTATATCAAATATCAAATGCAAGGATTATTATTATTATTATTAATTCTCTCTCTCTCTCACGCACACTCTCTCACACACTGCCCCCCCCCCCCCCCCTCTCTCTCTCTTACCGTGGTACTGAGAGCCTGCAGCCAGCCCAGCCGCCTGTGTGGCCAGGAGCAGAGCCTGTTTGCAGGGATCAGGGGGCACCAAGCTGTGGAAGAGGCTGTAGGTGAGGATGGGGGTCGGGGCGAGGAGCAGTCTAGCCGGGCGTGAGGGGGGAAACCGGGGCAGGAGTTGGGCAATAGCCCCCCTGCGCCCCGGGACAGCAAGTGGCTGCGACTGTACATGTCTCACCTGCCCACAGGTGTGTGTATGTGTGACAGAGACTCACCTGCAAATCTCTCTCTCTCTCTCTCTCCCCCCCCAAACACATCCCACCCTCCTGTAGGGGCGGCACCAACAGCAGCTCAACTTCAAAGCAAAGTCTTTCTTGTGTAAATCAACCCCTCAGTCTTTATCTCCTCTCTCACTCTGCACTCCAACCTAAGGAACACACAGACTGGAGAAGTCACCTCTCTCTCTCTCCCCCCCCCCCCCCCACCACCACCATCACCGCCCCAGGAGTTTGTCAGAAAGGCTACTAACAGACCAACCCACCTTCCCCCACCCCCAAAATAAATTGGTCATTAAATCCACCACTGTTTGCGGGACACTGCTGTGCGCATTTGGCTGCCGCGTTTCGCCCGCACAAAAAAATACAGTCACTCCGCTTTACAGTATGTTCTGTGAAGCGCTTTGAGACGTCTCAACAATGTGATAAGGCGCAATGTCAAATGCAAGGATTATTAGTAGTAATTAAAGGACCAGCACTCCTGAGCTCAGCGACAACGGGAAGCAACTAACAGAGAAAAACCTGAAACCAGGATCCAGTTTACAGATGCAGTCAGACCACAACGTCTGTGTGAATGAGTGAGTGAGTGAGCCTTGTGTGTGGACTAGATGCCCAATTGATAAAAGCACAATAGTCTTGGCTCAGAGTGTAACAGACTTGAGCCACAGTCATTAATGCCTCAAACAGGACAGTGCAATTGGGAGGTTTCCTCCCAATTTAACGACCTGTTTGTGAAATTCACCGGGTTCTTAAAGCGTGACATGTCAAGCGACTGCCAGAAGGCGAACTGGATGGACCTTGGTCTTCTTTCACCCAACAAATTACGTTCACCTTACATTCTTGGCACAGAACCCAGGCAATCGTATGTGTTCGTATCCAATCCGATTTGATGCAGGACATTTTCAAACGATTGTTATAAAGATCAAAAAATTGGTTTAAAAACACTCCAAAATGTAACATTTCAATGCTCAGAGCCTACAACACAGGATACAGTGCCATAGTCCTGCAGTGTAGTGATTAGCACAGTTGCCTCATAAACGAGAGGACCTTGGTTTGATTCCTGGACGGGGCGAAACCTTAGGCAAGTTTCATTACTCCGCATGCCTGTTTAGCAGAAAGTAGGAACCCACTTGTTAGTCGATTAGTGGATTGCTTTCCGGGGGTAATAATCCCTCCAGAAAATAATAATAATATTAATTTGGTAATTCAATCCACCATTGTTTGTGGCACACCACTGTGTGCAATTGGCTGCCGCGTTTCGCCCACAAAACACTCAGTCAATTCACTTTACAGTAAATTTTGTTAAGTGCTTTGAGACATCTCAACAACACGATAATTATTATCGAGAATTCGTTAAAAACAGTCACTACATCTGACGGGATATCCTACTGAGCGCTCTGTCAAAAGGTAAGGATTTATTTTACTTATTATGACAAACTCGCTTGAAAACCTGGCAGGAAGTCAAAATAAACTAATTGTTTTCATATTTTTATCAATGTAAAGTTTCAATTTCCCTTGCGCAGTTTCCCAGCGTATCAGATCTTGGGTTGTTATCTTGTGTGACTTCAGATTGCCATCACTTTGAAAACTAAAATGTAAACAGTCTCTCTTTTTCTTTCATCTCTCTCTCTCTCCCGGAGTAAGAAGTGAACAGCCAGGTAAACAAACAGATATTATCGAGTTAATTGAGGGTTAAATTAAACAAATCCACTTTTTAAAACAATATTTGGGTTGCTACCAAATTGGACAGTTCTGAAAAGCAAAGTCACACAGATCTGCTCCCAGATGAGTCTTTACCTGACGATTTTTCTTGATGGGGTCAGCCAGGTGTCTGACATGCGGCAACCCATCACCGTGCTTAAGAGTATCCAAACCAAGCTGAGATTTCCCTATGTTCCACCTACACATGGAAATCCCAGAGATAGATTGTTGGAATGGAATGCGCTCTCTCTCTCCTTAGAGGGAAGCGTCCTGCTTACCTAATTTCGGAGCGTATTAGGTACAGGTTGGCAAGAGCCAAGGCTTGGGGACTCCAGGGTGTGCATTGGGGTAACTGCTGGAGTCTAACCAGCTAAAACCACATAGCTTGCCTTTGATACTGTTGTCTGGCAAGCTTTCCCACTGCTTGTCCAGTTTGGACCACCCTACCCAATAGGGCTTTGGCTGCAGGGATAACAGGAGCTGAGTGAGAGGATTTCCTGNCCCCAGAGTTTGGTCTGCCCTTCCAAGTCCTGCCGATGAGCAAGGCTGGGCTGTGCTGTCATCAGCAGTGCTCTGGAATATTGTGGACCCGCCTGGCTCAAGAACCAGACTACCACTGGCACCATCTTCCTGTCCGCAGTTCGGGCACAGCTGGTGGCAAAGGTTTATTTTTGTATTTCAAAATCTAACCCCTTGGAAGGCACCAATGATCCCCTCCTTGTAAAGCGCTCGGAGACATTACCCGACGATGTGAAGGGAGATAGGTGAATGCAAATTGTTGTCATCGTTTTGGCCACCCTCGTACCCCCTCACTCCCTGCCCTCCACCTGTCCTATGCAACCCCCTTGACTGGGATCTTCCAGGTCTGTATAGCTCTGAATGATACAGTGCTAATGTAATGTAAGCAGCTCCAGCAAGAAATAGATACCCAAGAGTTAAGTATCTCTTGCGAGAAAAATGTTTGGGACAAGCAGTGTAAAAGAATTAACAGGGTTACATATTTCAACACTAATCTGACTTGAGATCCCAGAGAGAGATATTGTGCCATCAATTCAAGGTGTTATTGATGAACAGGTGAGTGCAGTGCAGACTGATCCAGGAATTCTCTGCCTCATAACTTTATGCTTATCTCTTCTCTGTATTGAGAAGCAACGAGAGACAGAGAACAGTCAGCTCTCGGCGGCTTCTAGGGTCTGAGCTGTGAGGAGAGCTTCCGAGTTATAAAAAGTTAATGCTATTAAATGAAAAAATTCCCTCCCTTTTCAATCAAACTCTTTGGGAAAGAAAAAAAGAAATAAAGGGAGTGAGAGAAAGACATGTATTTGTATTCATATAATTATGATAATAATCATTGTGTTTGATATAGCGCCTTATCATGTCATTGAGACATCTCAAAGTGGTTCACAGAATATATTGTAAAGTGTATATTTTGTGGGCGAAACGCGGCAGCCAATTGCGCACAGCAGTGTCCCATAACCAGTCGTGGGTTGAGAACAAATGGACTATTATTATCGTTTTAATTATTATCGATAATAAACAAAAAAACGAGGAAAACAAAAGTAGAAAAACGAGGAAAGGAAAAAGCGAAAATACATAATGAAAATGGCGAAACGGTTTCGCTCACAAAATACAGTCAATCAATTGCACAATATATTCCGTGAAGCGCTTTGAGACGTCTCAACGACGTGATAGGGCACTGTATCAAATGTGAGGATTATCATCATTAATAATAAGAAAATATACTAATTCTCATTGTCTCTATCTGGCTTAGATACAGGTACAGAGACAGAGAGAGAGAAAGAAAGACTAATAGCAGTCAGGTTCAGTTAAAGACATCACAAGAGCTGCCGGTTTGGGGTCAATTCCCCGACTCCTTTGAAGTCTCCTCATGTCCCCGTCGACGGCAGATTCTCACCGAAAACTGCTGTGGAACGGAATCTGAAAGCCGCAGCCAGTCATTGATCTGAGCCAACAAGTAATTCAATTACACCTCAAGTGATCCACGGCGGACACACTGACTCTACGCACACACAGCCCCCCTTCTTCTTGTGCAAATAAAACTATTATCTGCTTAATGGTCCGTTCCACCACACTCTCTCTGATGTTTTGTTTGGCCAAAACTATTGTTTACCCGTTGGGCATTTTTATCACTGAAATGCCGCCTCCACGCTCCCCCCACCCACTCCGTGTGTTCCCCCCCACCCAGCCATGCGCCACCACCCCTTCCCCCCGACCAGCATCATCCAGATACCACAAGCCCAGCACCGAAAATAAATACTTTTCGGAAACAGTTTAATTTGCTGAACTCGTTATGACTACACTCTCCCCTCAATCCCTCCGCCTCACCCCCCCTCACCTTCGGGCCTAAAGACTTTCCCCTTTGTCCGTGCCTACGGTCGCCTCCCCACCCACCCATTCCCCCGGCTTGGCAAGGTGCTCGGCCACCGTCAAGCCCTCTGGGACCCTGCCCTGCGGGAGGGAACACTATATAAATCCAAGTTGTTGTTGTTGTTGCTGAGATAATTCCCCACTTTGGTTGCGTGTGAGAAGCACAACACACCCGCGTGTTTATAAACTTGGTCAGGCTTAAACGGAACTTTTGAACAAGGCTGCACTGGGAAAACATTGGGAATCGTTCACGGGAGCCCTTGGGAAATATCCCGAATTCCCAGTCCGTCCCCTGTGGGGGAAGACAGCTTCAGCCCCATTTGTCGTCAGATGTTCCACATGCTTACTGCATTAAAACTCACGTAAGCCCGATCCGTGTACATCGTATAATCGCCCAAGTTGTACATTGGCCAAATCCCGATCAAGAGTTTCTATTCTGTGCAAGTTTGACATAACTCATACTTTGCACAAGTCATAATAAATGTATGGTCCCAACTGATACGACTTATGTGAGCTTTACTGTACCAACTCTAACCTTCTTCAGTTCAGGATTTCCCAATCCATCTCCCCCTCTCTCCAACCCTTTCTCAGCTTTGGTGATGTTCTGCACTCACAGATCTAGCCTTCCCCCCTCCACAATAAAAGTAATCTTGGATACACGACATCAAAGGCAGCGATCAATCAATCAATCAGTTATTTAGAACCAAGCAAGAGTCTCATCGATCAGGGATGAGACCTGATAAGGAAGTCTCTGACAAGTGTTTAGATTCCTGTGACAGCAGCCAGGCAGAAGCAAACAGCTGATAACAGCATCTAAAGTGCGATAATTACCAACTGATTCACTGCATTAATTACATTATTTTCGATTGAGAGATCCTTTGAACAGCGAATCACAAACTTTGGCTTGCCTGCCAGGAATCCATGTCACAGGGTTAATTGTCATCAATTGTAAACTCAGGAGTCATTGTGTGCACAGCAATGTCCCATAAGCACCATGAATTATTATTGCTCAATTTACCTGGAGGATTATTGGCCAAGACACCTATACAAACATCTTTTTTTCCCCCCCAATAGTGTCACGGATCTTTAGTATCCATCTGATTACAGGGCCGTGTTTTAATGTCTCAGCAAGGTGATGGCACCTCTGACAATGCACTGCTCTCCCCAGTACTATACTAAAGTGTCAGTCTGGACTGTCAAGTCCCAAATGCAGGGCTTGAACCCACAACCTTCTGACCCAGAGGCCATAATGTGACCGACTGATGTCAATGTCAACATCTGTCATTCGCAGACTGGAAATCAGGGTTAACACCAGGAATCTGGTTTGCAAATACCACAAAATAGAGTCATAGGTTTACATACAGAAGATGGACATTCAGTCCATTGTTTTTCTCATCTCATTTCGCCCAGGAACTTGACACTGTTCCCCTCTTGGGGTCTGGAGGTTTGAATGCAGCATGCACTTTATAATAATACAATAATAATATAATAATCCTTGCATTTGATACAGCGCCTTATCACATCTTCGAGACGTCTCAAAGCACTTCACAGGATACCCCGTAAAGTGAATTGACTGTGTATTTTGTGTGCGAAACATTAAGAGGGTCTGGAGAGCTCCTCTTTGCACCACCCCCGGGGTGAAGCCCCACTTTCTGGAGGGGTGAATCGCAGTGAGGAAAGGCACAGCCTCTCAATGGGATGGCCTTGCCTCTTCATGTTGGTCGTAACCTGGTGGCATCTGGATTACTGCTATTTGTCTCCCGCTCATTTCACCACTCCCCACAGACTGAAAGCATGAGCTGGCTGTCATCTTCTGAGCGTTAAACACATCTTGGACGTGGGCCAAGAACTCTTACTTACTCTTTCACAACAGCGCTGTTGAAAGCTGGAGTGGAAATCCGAAGAGAGAGACACCTGGGAAAGAAACCTGTGTCCGAATTGAAACAACATAAGAATTTGACGGCGAAAGAAGACCAAGGTCCATCCAGTTTCGCTTTCCACCATCCTGGGCTGTCGCATGACATATCTTGTCCCAAACTATATACTGTATTCTGAGATATTATTTCCATATGAAATATCTTTCCAGGGAGTCAGGGACATTATTTTGGGGTCAATTTTCTTATCAATGGGATCCCGCAAAAACTGAACCAAATGTTTAACGGAGAAACTTCTCAATCTAGATTTCTCAATCTTCAATCTACAAATAGATATAACTGTTGCAGCATCAGGTCACACGATTTCTTAAATTAAGAAAACAGTTAAGAAATGCACCGCCTGCTCTCAGCACGTGATCGTGTACAGGACAACGTTCGGGAACGAATTGGGGGGGGGGGTGAAGAAAAGGGTGGGAATGTGACGATATTCACAGAGTACAGTCAACAGCACAAGCTCCTCTTGACCCACAGCCTTTGGCTTTTTGCTGGGCATGGAATTCGGGGAGAGGGTTGAGGTCAGGAAGAGCAAGCGAGAATCAGCCTCAGTGCAGGAGATGGCAGAACAAATCCTTACCTGAGATGCCTCAAAGCGCTTCACAGGATATACTGGAAAGTGGTTGACTGTATTTTGTGGGAGGAACCGGCAGCCAATTGTACACAGCAGTGTCCCGCAAACAGTCCACTGATCTCTGTTTTATTTGGGGGGGGGGGGAGAGGGGGGAATTATTACCTCTGGAAAGCGATCTGCCAATTGACTAACGACCAGGTTCCTACTTACTGCGAGGTAAACAGAGGCGCATGGAATAAGGAAACTT